AACAAAAGATCACAAAGAAAAATTCAGGAAACAATCCTACTCACCATTTCAACAGAAAGAATAAAATACCTAGGAATAAACCTATCTAAGGAGATAAAAGACCTGTACTCAGAAAAGTATAAGACACTGGTGAAAGAAATCAAAGATGACACAAACTGATGGAGGGATATACCATGTTCCTGGATTGGAAGAATCAATATTGTGAAAATGACTATACTACCCAAAGCAATCTACAGATTCAATGCAATCCCTATCAAATTACCAATGGCATTTTTTACAGAGCTAGAACAAAAAATCTTAAAATTTGTGTGGAGACACAAAAGACCCTGAATAGGCAAAGCACTCTTGAGAAAAAAAAAAAAAATGGAGCTAGAGGAATCAGGCTTCCTGCCTTCATACTATACTACAAAGCTACAGTAATCAAGACAATATGGTACTGGCAGAAAAACAGAAATATAGATCAATGGAACAGGATAGAAAGCCCAGAGATTAACTCACACACCTATGGTCAACTAATCTATGAAAAAGGAGGCAAGGATATACAGTGGAGAAAAGACAGTCTCTTCCATAAGTGGTGCTGAGAAAACTGGACAACTACAAGTAAAAGAATGAAATTAGAACACTCTCTAACACCATACACAAAAATAAACTCAAAATGGATTAAAGACTTAAGTGTAAAACCGGACACTATAAAACTCTTAGAGGAAAACATAGGAAGAACACTCTTTGACATAAATCACAGCAATATCTTTTTTGACCCACCTCCTAGAATAATGGAAATAGAAACAAAAATAAACACATGGACCTAATGAAAGTCAAAAACTGTTGCACAGCAAAGGAAACCATAAACAAGACAAAAAGACAACCCTCAGAATGGGAGAAAATATTTGCAAATGAATCAATGGACAAAGGATTAATCTCCAAAATATATAAACAGCTCATGCAGCTCAATATTAAAAAAACAAACCACCCAATCCAAAAATGGGCAGAAGACCTGAACAGACATTTCTCCAAAGAAGACATACAGATGGCCAAGAAGCACATGAAAAGCTGCTCAACATCACTAATCATTAGAGAAATGTAAATCAAAACTAAAGTGAGGTATCACCTCACACTGGTTAGAATGGGCATCATCAGAAAATCTACAAACAATAAATGCTGGAGAGGGTGTGGAGAAAAGGGAACCCTCTTGCACTGTTGGTGGGAATGTAAATTGATACAGCCACTATGGAGAACAGATGGAGGTTCCTTAAAAAACTAAAAATAGAATTACCATATGACCCAGCAATCCCACTACTGGGCATATACCCTGAGAAAACCATAATTTAAAAAGACACATGCACCCCATGCAATGTTTATTGCAGCACTATTTACAATAGCTAGGTCATGGAAGCAACCTAAATGTCCATTGACAGACAAATGGATAAAGAAGATGTGGTACATTTGTACAATGGAATATTACTCAGCCATAAAAAGTCACGAAATTGGATCATTTGTATAGGTGTGGCTGGACCTAGAGATTGTCATACAGTGAAGTAAGTCAGAAAAAGAAAAACAAATATTGTATATTAACGCATATATGTGGAATCTAGAAAAATGGTACAGATGAACCTGTTTGCAAAGCAGAAATAGAGACACAGATGTAGAGAACAAATGTAAGGACACCAAGGGGGAAAAGCAGGGGGTAAGTGTTGGGGGGTGTGATGAACTCAGTGATTGGGATGGACATATATACACTTATATGTATAAAATAGATAACTAATAAGAACCTGCTGTATAGCACAGGTAACTCCACTTTGCTGTACAGTAGAAACTAGCACAACACTGGGAAACAACTATACTCCAATAAAAAAACATAAAAAAATTAAAAAATAAAATAAATGGAGTCATTCCTAAAGCATCAGTAGTTATCGAAAACAAGATGTTGCTGCTGAGAAGACAGGGCCAATCTTTACCTTTTGACCGAGTTGGATCCGAATTCTATTACAGGCAGTGTTCTATTTCTCATGTGCTTGCAGTGCTGTATTCCTCTACCTCTTATGGAGACTTATCTGACCTTCTCCATTCCACCTGCTAATTTAGAACTGCACAGTCCATATTTGGAAGATCAATTCAATTAGTGCTTGAAAAGTAATCTCTTGACTGTTTCTGCCACTGGTTACTTGGCTTGTTTTAATTATAACGGAATATCTTTGCTCTTAAAAAATCAAAAGGATGTCAAGATATTTTTTGCCCACCCTCAAAGATTGCAAGCCCTTGCCTAAGATGATAATTTTTCCAAAATTGGGAGAATATCCTCAAAGCACCTAATGTCCTGACACGCTTAAAATACCTAAACAATTATTGAATAGCCACAACAATAGTAACTTTTGAATACATGTGCAGTACCATTTTGCAGCTTCCCCAAAGCTTGGCTGTGTTAATTAATTTATGCCTCGCAAGAACCTCTTGCTGTAGGCAGGATACTATTATTAATCCTCACTATGCAGGCAGGGAAACTGAGTCACAAAAAGATCAAATTACTCAAGTTCTCATAGCTGGTAAATGATCCCAAATTCCCTGCCATGACATTTTGTGGTCTTTTTTACTATATTACCAGGCTTCCCTCTCCAACAGAGCCCTCTTTGGACACGAACCTTTAGGAAAGTTGGCTATATAACATTTTTGCTATCTGAAACTTTCAAAACCCTTTCAGTCTAGTTCAACTGGTTCAAGTTCAGCTTTATCACAAGTGGGTGCTACTTCTCCATGACTCCTCTTTATGAGCTGTCACCTTCCCTAACCCCTCAGGGGTCTCTAACTCTTTTGGTTATTTCAGAGCTTTAAGATCATTTTCTTGTTCATTTCAGAAACTATTTGTATCAGTCTTATTTTACATGTCAAAACTGAATGTTCTGACAAACTACGGCAATCATTCTTTGGAGACAGAATCCACTAGCAGCTTTGAGCCCTCCCTCTTGAAAATACATATGAATCTAGATCTCTATCTAAGCCATATCAACATCATCAACACCCCACCTCAACACACACATAGGGTAACACCTAGGTTTCCTAAGGCTACTGACTTTCCTCAGAGCTGATAATCAACAACTTAATCTTGCTCATCCCTGCTCATTTTATTTATTTTATGCCACTGTCTTTGACATATATAATATGGCAGCTTACAAAGTAAGGTACTGGTACCACCCTAAGAGTTGGGAATATAGTAGAAAAATGGAGGAGCCAGGGGTACCAAACAGATTCTCATGCTTGACTTTTACCCAAACTTAAAAAAAAATGAGAGAATTTAACAGCAATGATAAAGCCATACATTTGTGAGATACATCCTGGCCTCACATAAGTGAAACAAATCTTTCCTTTTTCTTTTTTTTTCTTCTTTTTCTTTATTGGAGTATAATTGCTTTACAACGTTGTGTTAGTTTCTGCCGCACGTTGAAGTGAATCAGCCATACGCATACACACATCCCCTCCCTCTTAGACCTCCCTCCCCCCCACCATCCCACCCAACGAGGCCATCACAGAGCACCAAGCTAAGCTCCCTGTGCTATATAGCAGGTTCCTACTAGCCACCTATTTTATGTATGGTAGTGTATTTATGTCAAACCTTACCTCCCAATTCATCCACCCTCCCCTTACCCCCTCCATGTCCACACATCCATTCTCTATGTCTGCCTTTCTATTCCTGCCCTGCAAATAGGTTAATCTGTGCCATTTTTCTAGATTCCACATACATGCGTTAACATACGATATTTGTTTTTCTCTTTCTGACTTAAATCTTAATCCAAGACCTTTTATTGTGAAACAAACAAAAAAATGCAGATCTGAGACAGAGAGAAGAGGGAAGAGGAAGAAAGATAGATATATAACTAGTGAGGAAAAGGAAAACATATATAATGCAGATGTGGACTTGGCCATAAATTAAATGAAGGATTCCTCCAAATCTGCAGAGCTTCTAAATTCTACATTAATTTTTTTTATTGATATAGTTGATTTATAATATTAGTTTCAGGTGTACAACATAGTGATTCAAAATTTTTATATATTATACTCCATTTATAGTTATTATAAAATATTGGCTATATTCTGTGTGCTGTACAGTATATCCTTGCAGCTTATTTATTTTATACATAGTAGTTTGTACTTCTTAATCCCTCCCCCATCCTGCTGTTACCCCCTTCCCTCCCCACACTGGTAACCACTAGTTTGTTCCATATATCTGTGACTCTATTTCTGTTTTGTTATATTCATTTGTTTGTTTATTTTTCAGATTCCACATATAAGTGATAACAAATGGTATCTGTCTTTCTCTGTCTGACTTACTTCACCAAGCATAATACCCTCCAGGTCCATCCATATTGTTGCAAATGGCAAAATTTTATCTACATTTTTAAAAGAAATTAAATTTAGTAGTCTAAAGCAAAATTCTTTCATTGTGTCAACATCACAAAGTAAAAGTTAGTTAATATAATACAACACTCTCCTCAGTAATATAAGGAAACCAGAGAATTTTATAACTAGAATGAATTCAGTCATCAATAACTACATGAAAGAAAAAGATGTATATATAGATTCTTTTAAGGTGTTTTAAATTAAACTTCATTAGATAACCAATAATGTAGAAATCTGCTTAATGTAAAATATTACAGAGAAAGCAAGAACAGAAGGAAAGTAAACTATAAAAATAGAAATATTCATAATAGAAAGAAAACTAAAATGTGCCTTCCTTTTATTTTTTGAGAAATAATTTTTAATCCTATTAATATTCAAATTTCCTCAATTGTCAGCTAAATATCCTTTATTATTTGTTTTTCCAAAACCCAGTTCAGTCTAGCACCACACATTGCATCTATTTTTTTAGTGCAATCCTATTTCCCTCCTCTCTGCCTTGTCTCCAAGTTGCTTACTTGTTGAAGACTTGTTTCCTTGGACAAAAACACATCATTTTGAAAATACAGAATTAAATTTAAATGAAATGAAAATACCTTAAAAATCTTACTTACCAAAAGAGAATAGGGACAGTTGTTATGTTCAAAAGGTTTAGAAAAGAAATCGGTATTGTGGTCCAGTCTCTGGTGTCCTCCATATTCCGCTGCATCTGAATCTAGCACAATTTTGTACGTACAACTCTTAAGGAATCACAACGGTTTAGGAGTTGAATGAGACATTATAAAACATTTCTGAGACAGGATTTAAAAGCGAGGATTTTGAAAACTGTTTAATGATGATTTGTGCTATGTTCTCATTTCTTCTCTAAGATTTCTGAGTTTGAGTTTATCATGTTTGAAAGGGGCTTTATAGGCTATCTAGTCCGCACACCCATGGGATCCTTGTTATCCTTTTGTCACAGCTCGTCACACGATCATCCATACCTACTAGTGAAGAATCTACTTTCCTCTTCATGTAACTAATTCCATTTGTTAGAAATTCTTCTCCATATTGAACAGAATTTTGATTTCTTGGGACTTTTTCTACCCAGAAAAGCCATAAGGAATAAGTTCAAAATACAGTAATTTTCAAATATTTAACAATAGCTATTTTGTCTCCATGTGTCCTCTGCATACATAACTAAATACTTACTAAATGTAATCCCAGAACCTTTGATCATTACTCATTTGATATGGCTTTTTACTATTTCCCTATCTCTGAATTCATTGCAGTTTGCTAGATCGTGGTTGATAAAGTGAGGAACACAGAAGAGAACTAAAGGTCCATGTGTGGCCTGAAGACCAAGTAGGCTCATTCTTTCCCCTTGGTTACAAGCAGCATGCTTCTATTAATGCACAAGATCATGCAAATATACTACCCATCATGCCACAGGTGGATTCATGTTGCAATCATGTGATCTGCTACAACTTAACATCTGATTTTTCACAATGAGCTATTATGCATGTTAGCATTATTGTATTTATAACAAAATAACAGCTATGGTTATTATGTTCAAACTTATGCTCAGAAAGTCTAGAAATGATACTTGATTAAAAAATCCACAAGTAAACATAAATGGGTACCTAGAAATTTAAGTTTCTTCTAGCCTAAGGAGGGAGACAGATAGGTGTCTAGGTGCTTTGTATTTTCTTTTCCTCGTATATAAATATTTAATCTCAGAAACGTTTGTACCTTTTCATTACAGCTAAAGTTATCACATTAAAAGTACATGGGAAAAAAAAAGTACATGTGGATAACAAACTATGACCATATTTTCATGCCTAGGGGACTTCTGTTTGGGTAAGAGATGCAGATGGACGCACCACAGGAACTTTGGCTGGGAGTGGTGGCGCCATTTCAGTCAATCCAGGTCAGCCTACTCTGATGCAAATTTAGACTAATACCATAATCAGCATGTTACTGTGTTTAAAAGAGAGGGAGAGGGAGGGGGAGAAAGACTGAGTTCAAAAGGTGACTACTGGGCACAAGCTCATTCATTCTAAAGTCACTCAGTAGAGCTGCACATGATTTGAGCATATGGATTTATTTAATGGGGAAATACACACAGTGAAAATAAATCATTAGGGGCATGGTAAATAAATGAAGCATTGTGGAACTAAAGGAACTACTAAAATAAAAGTTTAGTTTTGGTTCTTCATCCTAGTTCATTAAATACTTGCACAGTCTTCAAAAAGCATTAAACAAAAACAAAAGGAGTACAATACAGTTTAGAGAATAATGACCTAGAATCTTTTCTAAAACACTTGAAATACAGTATCAATTATTAAATTATTGGTTAACAGCATAGATTATTGGTAGTTGTGACTGAAGACAGCAAGTATACCATGAAAAGCACCGATTCCCAACCTGTGGGTCGATAATCACTGGTCATTGTGTTATAAGGGTCTCACAGAATGAGTAATTATGTTATTAAAAGGGACTGGGATGGATTCTATATGTACATTGTCTGAAAACTAAATTATGTTATTATACCCATTTGGTACTGTATTTCAAAGAATATGCACTTTTTTGATTAATGAGATATAAATTCATTTAAAAAGTCACAGAATTTGTAGTAAGTTTTTTGATATATTTTCTCAATCAAGGATACTGAAAGAACAATTGTTAGGGGTCATTGAAAGGGGTCATCACACTGAAAATGGTTAGAATCTACTCACTTAATCTATAATTTATAGCTATAAAGAAAAAGCTTACAAAAGCCATAAAGTTTCAAAATATCAGTTTAGACATATTTCTCTGATCTATAATTTGAAGAAAAAAATTCTGCTGTGGCCACTTTTGGAATTCCCCAGCCCTGTGTCTCTATTACCCAGGGAATACAGCCACGTCCTTTAGAAAACACATCCCTTAAACTCCAGAAATTCCAACAATTTAAAACACTAGATTAAAAGTAATGATTGTGAAAGAGCTTTATAATTGTAAATTACTACAACATACTACTCAAGTGTCAACTTAAAAAAATGCACAATGTTAGAGTTGCGAGTTAAGTTTTATTTGGGGCAAAATGAGGACTGTAGTCTGGGAGACAGCATCCCAGATAGCTCTGAGAAACTGCTCCAAAGAGGCAGGGGGGAAGGTCAGTATACATGTGGTTTTGGTGACGGGGGAGTACATGCAACCAAGCACATATTTTTTACAGAAGTTTTCTACTAGTCTCGTGCAGGTTACTGCTAGTCACAGGAGCAGACGTCACCATGGATTTTAGTGCTTTTTTATATATGAGGAGATACAAGAATTGGGCTCATAAAATTGCTCCTGAAAATATCTAACTATCTGAAGGCCTGATCTGCCAGTTTTTCCCAGAGCACAGAGTGCCTCGTTTCTGCTCTCCATCCTGAACTCCTCTCAGGGGGTGTTGAAAGTCAGCAGATGCAGCAGCTCATGATTTAATCCTTGTAGACGTAGATGGCAAGTGCCAATGGAAAATGCCAATTCATAGTTGACACAAAAATCAGGAAACCCCGTCTTTTAGGAACACTGCTTAGCATAAACATTTTAAAAGAGGTTTTATGTGCAATTGGATTTTTGTTTTTCTGTTCTCTCACTCAGGCATGCCCTCACTCCCTCTTTCTCATGTACATGTGAGCACACACAAACACACAGATACACACAGATACACACATGCACATGACGCGGGACCCACACAGCACCAATATCCCTACAAAGCCCTGTCTTCCACTAAAGAACATCCCTCTGAAAATATAACTCAGAGCCAATTTACACTTAAACTACCTTCTTCATGTGGTTTCCAGTTCCACAGTGGATAAAACAAATTTAGCAGGACATCTCAACACCTTCACATCTCTTTAATTCATAGCTACCTCCCTATACCTAGCAGACTGCCTTCTCATAATAGCTTCTCAATACATCTTTGAAACTGATATTCAGGATGACAATTCTGATTCACCAAGAAAGGCCAAATTACATGTCTTATTTTTTATATTCGAGGAAAGTAGGAGAAATTATTTTCCCATTCACTTAATAAATACACACAATGTAGGAGGCACTGTACAAGATATAAAAAAAAAATGACTAAGATGTGGTTTTAGTTCACATGCAACTCATAGCCTATTAAGGGGAGATTAGAAATGAATATGAATGTCTATAAATAAAACAGAAAGCAATATGCAATGAGAGGTAGAGCCAAGGAGGGAAGGTAGGATTGACAGTCTGTAAACAAAACCTTTTGAAGGCTAGGCTAGACTGTTAAGATTTATTTTGTAATTAAGTATGAGAACATTGAAGGTTTGTGAGAAAGGTTATGACAATCAAAAAAATTAAACTGGGGCTTCCCTGGTGGCGCAGTGGTTGAGAGTCCGCCTGCCGATGCAGGGGACACGGGTTCGTGCCCCGGTCCGGGAAGATCCCACATGCCGCGGAGCGGCTGGGTCTGTGAGCCATAGCCGCTAAGCCTGTGCGTCCGGAGCCTGTGCTCCGCAACGGGAGAGGCCACAACAGTGAGAGGCCCGTGTACCGCAAAAAAAAAAAAAAAAAAAAAAAAAAATTAACCTGAAGGTTGAGGGTAGAATAGGATGAACAAAGGAAAGACTAAGTCAGAGAAACCAGCCAGGGACCTAACAATGGTTCACAGATAGTAGTATGGCTAAACTTGGATAATGCAAATGGACAGACATACATAAACCAATGAGATTTTGGATGTGCAACTAATGGTACTCAAATGTAAGGAAACTGATGCTCAATTTGGGGAAACACTTGGAAGGGGAGAATAGTTGTGCCCAAAGACACACAATAAGTTTAGTGGCAGAGCTGGGATGTAGACACAAGTCAAATTCAGATCTAATTACCCTACTCTCCTCAAGTGGATGCCTATTTTATGCCAAGAATCAGGCAAAGTGTTTTCGCAGGCAATTTCTTGTTTAATTCTAAATTTGAGATTCTAAGCATAAAGAGGTTGGAATGAACATGACATGTAGAACAAAAACAAGGAAAACAGATAAAGTGATATCCATCTGAGTGTTTAATTAAATTTAAAAGATTGGTGTTAAAGGACTGTAATTCTTAACATTACTTAAGGAGTCTGGATATCTGAGGTTTATTGCATTTGTTCTAGATCAATTTCTTGTTTAGTTGGTTCATTTGGTCACTTGATTGGGGAACACAAAATTATTGAACTGAAAAAATGTACCTTGCTCAATTTGGGAAAATACAGCAGGGAAAGAATGATAGAATGATAGAATTTTTATAGAGATTTTCCTTTAAAAAAGGAGATCAAATAGATCCCTATCCATTTGGATATCATTTTAAAATATTATTTCTTATTTTAAATTCAAGAGCTTCCTAAGTATTTGATATATCTATCAACAGGTTGAAGTAGATAAGAAGTTTTAAGCATTATTTTATTATGTGTCCTTAAATTTGAACCAAGGAAGAGCCATGTTCTGAAGACCTGTACTAATAAGATTAAAGAACAGTGAAGACATGAAGACTCTTAAATTCAATGGCTCTTCAAATACTTCAAAAGCTGCTGTGTTTGCTCAGCCACTTGATAAAGTGTCTGTTCAAAGTATAAGGATTTTGATGTAAGAAGTACTATCGTTTAACTCATTCTGCACTAAACTCACTTCACTCCTGCTGAAGAAACTAAGGAAATTTATTGTAAGGTACAAACCCTGAGGTTTCAGACTCAGTGACAATAAAAGGGGTTCTCTAGT